AAATGGCTCCTGGACTCCTCACCTTTGCCCACCATTACTATTCCTGTTTTGTTCCCTGATCAGATGGAAGTGTACTGCTCTGATTTCCATGCCGAAAGAGCCGCACGAGAGAAAATTCACGAGGAAAAGGAGCAGTTAGCTGTGCAGTTGACATACTTGCTAACAGAGAAGCAGCAACATGAAGGTCTCAGCAGGTAAGAAGTGGATCAAGAGAGGTTTTCCAGTTTTATTTATTTATTTATTTATTTACAGCTTTTAGATTCCGCCCTTCTCACCCCGCAGGGGACTCAGGGCGGATTACAGTGTACACATATATGGCAAACATTCAATGCCAATTTTTGACATACAAACATATACAGACATACACAGAGGCTATTTAACTTTTTTTCCGGCCGCCAGGGGAGCTGTCGCTTTCATCGTCCATCTGCGACGCTGATGAAGCACTTCCGCATTCCCCGCATGCTTCCCCGCTGGAATGCTTTGCTGGAGTCTTCTTTATGGCCTCATAAATCAGTTAATTTAGCCTCCCCACACTTTAAGGTGGTACCTAATTTTCCTACTTGACAGATGCAACTCTCTTTTGGGTTGCAAAGGTCGACAACAGGCTACACACAATTGGTTGGAAACCCACTCCAACCCGGGCTGGCTTCGAACTCATGACCTTTTGGTCAGAGTGATCTTAATGCAGCTGACACTCAGCCAGCTGCGCCACAATCCCGGTGCTACAATCCCGTCTAGTGGAGAAAAAAGGGGACAAGGTAGTCATGTTTCCCACCTTTTAGGGAGCAGTTCTCCTCTCCGTATTCGGTTCTTTTAATGAGAAATGAGAAGTACATAATATGCTGTAGAGAAGTGATTATTATAACTGTGTTTTAAACTGTGTTTATGCTTTACATTGTAGCCATGACCTAGCTGAGAGAGATAGGTTGCCATGGTGACAGGCCAGAGGAGGTGGGCGGAGCTTAAGTAGGAAAGGTTTGAAAACGACAGTTTAAAATCAGTCAGGCGGATGAGACCCTGAAGGACAGAGTCAAAGGGGACTCTGGGATAATAGTTCAGTCAGGGGAATGAAACCCTGAGGGGCAGAGTCAGTTGAGGCTCTGTGGTGTAGTGTAAATTCAGCCAGTTCTTAGGATTTGTGAATATTATTCCAGCTAGGAAGCTGGAGGTGAAACCTCGTTAGATTGCTTGAGTAAAGAAAGAATCTAACAAGAAAGAGGTTTAGGGATCCCAGTGGTGAAGGGCTGGAGATCGCTAGTTTGATCCTGTGTAGGACAAACAGTTGTAAATATTCACAATAGGGAACTGAAATATTAAAGCACCTCATTGTAGAAGAAGTCAAAGAATTGTAACATCACCTGAATGTATCTCAACTAAGCCATATTTGTAACCATCAAGCTTGTGCCAAGTTCAACAGTTAATATTGCAACAGTTACGCTCCGACAATAAATCTGTTCTCTTTGTGTTTTAAAACCTGCCTCATCCATTGATTTCAACGTTTTGCACAATCCACACTACCAAAGTGGCCTCACAACCCAGATAAGAAGAAACAGAGATTATATTACCAATATCTCTTTATATTAGGGTGGCAGCTTATACTAGAAGTCTCAAATTCTCATTACATTTGTGTGGTGATCCTATTTAGTTGGGATTTCACGCCATTATTTTATTTTTGGAGACTACTTCACATATTTTGGTGGCAGCAAGTGAACGGCTTCGAATTGTAGTAACGAGCGGTGGGGACGCGGCTTCGCAAATTTGGTGGCAGACGACGGGATTCGTGTAACAACTAATCAAGTGCCTTAAGTTTTTTAAAATAAGTTGTGAGGTAAAAGTTGCTGAAAAATGGCTACCAGGCGGCAGAGAAAGCTAGCTGAGGAAAGAGTAGAGGAAAATTCGAGCTCTGAGACAGATGAGCCGATGCCTTTCTCAGAAATGGCTTTTAAGTACAAGTTAGAGATGAAACGATTGGAGATGGAGGCAAAACAGAGAGAGTTTGAAGAAAAACAGAGAGAGAGAGAACAGGAGTTAGAATTGAAGAGAATGGAGTTTGAGCTAGAGAAACAAAGATTGGCTTTGTCTCAAACAGCCAGTGAAACCCAGGAGGGGAGATCTGGAGGAGATACCCCAGATTTGATGAGGAAATTTCCAAAATTTACCAAAGACGATGATCCAGAGAAATTTCTAATATCTTTTGAGAGATGCTGTCGAGATTTTGGTGTGGCAAAAGAAAGATGGATGACATACCTAAGGCCACAAATAAGTGGGAAACTTTTGCAGATTTATGGACAGATGCCTGAGGAGTCTTATAGAGACTATGATCTGTTTAAGAAGCAGGTTCAACAAGAATTTAGATTGACTCCTGAATATTATAGATTTACGTCCGAGGCCAATCACCAAGCAACGTCACAGGTTTGTCGGTGGCCTAAGTATCTAATGTTTGCTCGTTGGATCCGCAGTGAGGTGGGCGTTTACCAGCGAGGGCCTTTGACGCTGGAGC